CATTGAAAAATTTTACAGAACAGAAACTGATCAATTTTGCAAGTATCTATGATTCACGCATAATGTTCGCGCATATTCATATTTTTTTTTTCTCTTTTAGGCAGCATTACAGAAGCTAAACAAAATGAAGGCATGTTGGACGCTTCTTTGAGTTTCGTATGCTTCCCACTTGTCATCCATTTAATTATTACTTAATAATAAGTTAATTTGAAAGGTGCTTAGTGCAATAACACAATCTAACTTATAAAAAGTAAATAAGTAAACAAAATTTTTGAATAGAAAGAAATCCATAATTTTTTATAGTATGAATAAAATTAAATTTTTTATTTTTATTTTTTGAATCATTATTGCACCAGCGCCTCACTTACATTTGTTAAGTAATAATTCCGCTACTAAAATGATTTCCGATTTCTTATTCCATTTTTTAAATTTATTTTTTACAGAATTTTTTTTAATATTAATATATAACATTTTTTCCTTCTATTATTTGTTCATCTAATTTATCTGTTATAATATATCTTATGCAGACATAAAAAAAATCGATTGTATTTAAATTTATAAATTTGTATAATAAAGAATTTTAATAAATTAATAAAAAAATTGTTTGCTAATAACAGATTAATACAAATAATTTCTTTTGTTTATTCGTGTAAGAGTGATATTGAATTTTTTATTTGTCTTTTATATAATATGTTGATGCCATGAGGTAAAATTCGCTTTCAACAGGAACATCGACAAAATGCCTTGTTGGAAGTGGAAAAAAACATAAAGCAACAACAGGAGTACGAAATAGAGATGCAATCCATGCTCAAAGCTCATAGGAAGAAGGTGAATTAAGTGCACAAAAAATATGTAAACTTCTTAAATATGAAAGACTGTTGCGTTTTTAGCTATTAGAAGACGTAGCGTTGCAGCAGATACAATTGGAGCAAGAACTCGAAAAAGTTCAACAGGAAAGAGACACGAATAGAGCGCGTTTACTCTCGTACATTCACAATGGTACATATATATCTCCTTTTCAATTTTTAACAAATTCTACACAAAATATATTAATTTAGCAAATATAAAAAATCAATATAAATATATAAATTAATTTTTTTTAGCGGAGAAAGAAGCTGATAACGTAATTAAAGAATTTCTGAAAAATAGCGAGGAAGAAAGACAGAGTCAAGCCGAGTTAGTGGAGCGGGAGAAGCAAGAAGAAATGCAACTATTAAGCTCCTGCCACTCAGAACAGTTCCTATTACGTACGAAAGACACTCTTTGTAAGTATCGAACATAAAGCTTATCCAAAATCAAGATTGTTCACGCATGAATATAAACTCATTTTGCAGTTGCAATGGAAAAATTATTGGACGAGGAAATGTGCAGAACAAGAAAATGGGAAGAGCATACCAAATACAGAGACTGCACCGTACAATCCTTGCTTACGTTGTCAGTAATAAATTTTTTCTTTACATTTGCTTTTCTTACGAGTCAGTCTATAAAAGATATACAAAGATATGTTAAATATAGTATTTCATTGCAATGAGTAATCAAATTGTCTTCGTCAATTCGATGGGTAATAAATCTATGAGAAATTATTTATAGATTGAGTCTCTAAAAAGAAGCATAAACTCTGGTTAATAAACTTTAATTATATTTTAAATAATAGTTATGAACAGTTATGAATGAACAACTTTTTTTTATATTAATAATATAATAACTATCATCATTATATAAAAAGAATAAATTAAGAAGAATAAAATAAAAATTCGAATTAAGGGAAGTGAGAAACAACGACCACTTGGCGCAGATAGTGCATGATCAGGAGAAAAGTAGACAAGACCTTATTGATAGATTACGACGGGATGAAGTCTTACAAAAAGCAGCAGTTGCCGCATTGTTGGAACGGAGCGATGCGCGTTCCTGGAGTATTATTCAGCAAATGAATCTCGTGCAATCACAATTGGCTGCGCTTACTAATATCGAACTCGAAAGGCGAAAATTGGAGATCACTCAGCAGCTTGTAAATATGCTCAATCTTATGCATCAAATAAGAATTTAATAAAATATCTTTGCTATCATAACTTATAAGTATAGATCGAAATATAATAATTACATAGTTCATTAGATTATTATACTAGATTATCAATTTCTTAAATTATTTTAGATCCTTAAATATATAATAAAATATATTTTTATATGTACAATATTATATGTATGTATGTATATAAAATTATATATATGTAATTTATATACGTATTTTTAGAATGAAATCGCTGATAAACGCGTGGCTCTAACAGATATTCTGGTCGACTTGTTAGAGCAGCAAACGAATAGGAGAGCTCAACTATTGGAGACGATCAATACAATCGAACAACAGCGAGGCATCTCTGTAATTATGTTTCACTTTTTACTCTCGAATTTCTTATTTAATGTTCTATTTCCTTTTTTGTAAAATTAATAAATATTAATGAGCTTTAATATAATTTAAAAGATAATAAAACAAAGATATTGAAACAAAATAAGAAAGCAATAAAATTATTAAAAATTATAGAACGTGAGACGTGACAGTTTGTTTTGGCTGATGCAATATCAATCTTTGATGGAAGCTCGGCCACAAGGACTATTGGAGATGTTGGAACCTATGCTGGTTCGACATGTGGCGATAGCAGGAGCTTTGCACTGCCTTCCATTCTTAGCCACTTTACCATCTTTGTTACCAGACATTAGTAACGAACAATTAAAGAATGCAAGTATCATCAAATTTTTAAAACTTCGCTTTAAAATATTGTAAATTGGAGTATTTTTGTAGTGTTAAATAAATTTGTGATACTTATATAATCAGATTTTATATTTATTTGTAATGAATAGTGAATAAATTTTTAATTATTTAAAACACACATCTATTATTTTGTATCATTTTTGTTTTGCAGATTGGTATAAATTGCGAGAATGATCGCACTGCCATAATGCTGGCAGTTGACAATTATTTATCAGAAGTTAAACTGAGTGACTCTAGATCGCCTGTAACAGCTTCTGCGCCTCTCGAAGAGGCATCGACCAGCGATCAAGACGATTCTATTCAGAATGTCAACATAATCGAATGTGTAATTTGCTTCGACTTGCAAGTAAATGTTTTTATATATATAAAATTTCAATGCTCGATATCGATGAATTTATTTTGTTATTATTATAATCATATATTGTCTTTCTTTTTTGCAGTGCGAAGTGATTTTTCTACCTTGTGGACACTTCTGCTGTTGCTCCATTTGCGCAGAAAAAATTTCTGCAGAATGTCCAATGTGCAGAAGTTTAATAGAACGTAAAGTTCGAGTTGTGCAGCCTTAAATTTATAAAACTCGGTTTTATTCAGCTTATTCGCGAATAATGTCAACTTGATGCTTCTTAAGAGTATCAAAATGCGCTATTCTTCCTGATCTGTGATTATGCACGTCAACAAACTGTTTCCATAGTAGTGGAAAGTATAACCACGCACAAAAGTTATATTTACCACTAATATAAAGCTCATAAATGTCGGTATATGGAGAATATACTATTATACACCTCTGTGTGTGTGTGTGTGTGTGTGTGTGTGTGTGTGTGTGTGTGTCGCATGTGTGTATACATCCATTTCAAAATAATGAGAAGTGGTTTTTAACAAAAATATTTAAAACAAAAGTTGTAATTGATTTTATTATTATTTATCTCCTTCAGGTCACATAATTTTTATTTAAAGCGTTTTTAATAAAAATCACTTCTCATTTTAAAATAGATGTGTGAGTGATCTCAAACACTCTGTATATTGTGATTCGCAAAATTGTTCAAATGATCAATTTCATAAGCAACTAGTTTTTTACACACAAAATGTAAAATATTTCCATTGGAAATTCTTTGATCAATTTGATATAACAAAATTGAAACAGCCTTTTACACGAGTACTTTATAGATTTTGTTGTATGCACTTCGATTGATAATTTAAATAGATCGATAATCGTTTGCATCGTTTTTTTTAATATCAAAAGAAAAAAGACAAATATTATGAATCTAATACATCAAACACAAAAGACACAATTTAAGAAATATAGAAAATATTTATTGCATGAATTTTTATGCTTTATCATTATGTCATGTAAACATTATATTATATATTATATTACGTTTTACACTGATTTTATAGAAATCATGTGTACGCATTGGAATATAGATAAGAGCACAAATTTACACGTTAAAATTATTTTAATCATACATAATTTTATATATACTTATATAATATAATATATATAAAATATGCTAGACAATTGGCTTTAGATAGATTTCAGTATTAATTGAAGATACCACCAAAGCGAAATTAAAAAGAAATGTAAAATGTTCAAAGGAAGCATAGAAAAAAATGGACATATTTTATAATCTTAATACCTATGCAAAATATAATTATTCTATTGTAATTAAATTAATCACGTACATATCTTCATAAATTACAGAATATATTAGAATATACAAGCATACCTGAGAGAAAAATATAAAACTTGGTAATTAAGTCGAGAAGTTAGTGCGAGAAAATCAGTGCATTTATAAAAAATAATTTTTACAATGAAATTTTGATAAACAATCGATTCTGAGATTCAATACAATTTGAGTGTTACTTTCTGTCTAATGTTAGCGTTATTTGATTATGAAAAAGAGAGAATCTCCTGTAAAATAATATAATAAAATTCTCATTTATGCAAATCGATCTTCTCATCATCGCAAATTTTTAAATAACTAATTTTCTTTTTTGCACGAAAAATAGCACATCGTTTATAACATTATAATGTTTTAAAATTATTAAGTAATGAATATTATTAAAAAATGTTTTATGTGTAATCTGCTATTATTACATGAACATAATTAAAATAAATATTAAGCTTTCATTTAACTAGCTTCAAAGTTCATATGTTTTTTATTATTGTTCACACTTGAGCATTTAATTTATATTATAAATATCTTAAATTATTATCATAGATAAATTTTTAAGAATAGTACATATGTGACGAATTCACTTTTTAGAAAATTTCAATAATTTCTCTTCCCGCTTCTTCATCTTCACCATTTACATCATCATCATCTTTTTTTTGTTGCTTTTTCTTCGACGTCGCGTCTTTCTTTTCTTTCTGAATCTTTTTAAAGTTTTCAAGAGATTCCTGCAATGGCTCAACAAACTGATCAAACTCGACATCTATCATCGCTTGTATCACGTCTGGGCCACTGACAGTCTTGCGATTACTTTTCTTGGCTACTATATTGGCAGCCGATGTGAGATATAATATGAAAATGGATGCGGCCTTCGCCACCGCTGTTCTGGCATCTTTTCCAACTGTCACTCCATCTGGTAAAGCTTCCTTGATGATTCTGGTCACAACCGCATTGGGCAGATTCAGATCTTCTAATCGCTCGGCCATCTAATTATCGTTTATATTTTTTCAATTCTTATAAATAAAGAGTAATATAAAATATCGTAATCTTACAATTGTAATACTCATGACATAAATTGTCAAAATAGAATTAACATACAGGATGTATCTGAAATAACGCCCACTAATCATATAGTGCTGTTTCCTAATAAAAAACTGAGTCGAAAAGTTCTCTATCATTTTGCAATTTTCACAATATTTTTTTTTAGTTATCCAATGAGCAAAATGTGTACAATTGACGTACAAGAAAACTTTAAGATATCTTTAAAAGTTCTTTAAGAAACATCTTCAAGATATTTTACAAAGATATCTTAAAATTGTCCTATACATTGATTTTATCTGTTTATTCGGCAAACTTTCGAAATTAATATCTCATTAACTATTCTGTAAATTGCAAAATGGTAGAGCACTTTTTAATTTTTTATTAGAAATAGCACTATAATTAGTGAATGTTATTTCAGATACATTATAGCATTTATGATATATAAGATGATATAATATCGTTCCCTTACTTTAAAAGACACAACTAAAAAATGTTACCTTCAAGTTATTATCATGAATGAGTTAGATAAAAATTACTCTGTCAATCATCAAAAGCACTAATTTAATTTCATCGTTCGTCCGCCAAATAAGGTTTTTAAAGAAATCATATCTTTTACAAATATATATTTGAGACAATAAAATATAAATATCATTAAGAGTCAACACTGAATATTTGTATTAGTTAATTTATTCATATGATTTATTCACAATAATAAAAATATATACGTTTCAATCTATAATTCTCTTCAGTATATAATAATTCCTTCTTTAAATTTGATGATGATGATGATGATGATGATATATTATATAATAATTACTGCAATCAAAACTCAATTGCATAATATAATATAATATGCATAATACAAAATAAACTTAGTCAATCTAATATAAACTATTGGTTTGCATCGACAAATTAAATGAAATTCGTAGCCAAATTTTTGCAATCAAAAGTAATGATATGATATAAACTACTAAAATAATATCAAAAGTAGTTGCAATCAAAAATAATGATATGATATAAACTACTGAAATAATATCACAATTAAATTTTAATGTTTAATAAGCATCTATCAAAGAGATCTTAATATGCTGCAAATCTATAAATAAATTTATTTACAGCCAGGAGTCGAATCCAGATCTTTAATATTCTGTGCAAATATTCTAAGTTCCAATGATTACAAATATGATAGATATGCAAGTATATATAACATACAGTATATACAAATTCACATTGAATTACTTAAACATTAAAGATTCAGTTGACCATTATGGACCTTTATTTCCTATTTCCTATTGATCTTTCACATGTACTTACAGTCCAATAAGGTTTTTATCGTTTATTTCAGTAGTTTAGTTTTACATATATTATCTATTGCATACTGTGACATGGATTCTAATAAAGCAATTCTGATGCACGAGAATAAAAATTCAGATCACTGTCAGTGTCTCTACATCAATCCATCAATATTAACCACAATCAATGAAATAATAATGGCTGCGTTCAACAGAAAAAACAGTTTTGCAAAATCTGTTGTAAAATCTTCGAATATGATTGGTTTATACATTTAGATCCAGTGAGGAAAGGACAAGATCATATTCAAGAATTTTATGACAGTAATGCAAAGCTGCTTTTTCTGCTGAACACAGCTATTGTCAGTATTTGTTAATACTGACAGTATTTTTGATCGTATAGAATCACCTTAATACACAAATTAGAATATAATGAGTCTATGATATTTAAGGTGATATTTAAGGTAGCACCTGATTGGATACGAGTCACTCACAACAATTAACTAGAAAACCTGTAGCCCCTGTGACTGGTGATGTCTAATCGAGAGCCTATTATCACAAATCATAGATAAAAGGCTGTGGTCAAAGACTTGCTAAAAATGCTTTGAAGCGTTTGATGGACCAATTAGAAGAATTTTACTAATTAAAAAAACACTTTAAAGCATTTGTAATACATATCAATACATCGTATTGATCATATCCAAAACATACATTTTTATTGTCATATAAATAAATTAACTTAATATACTTAAACTCAAATATTCAGTATCAGTTCTTAATGGCACTTATAATTTAGTGAATTATTTCATCTGAGACTATTATCTCATATTGCTTAATATTTTTGAGCCATTTTTTATAAATAAAATCTTGTACTTAAAAGATCTAGAATCAAGATAATTTAATAATCAAAAATTTGAAAAATAAATTGTTTTGAATTAAGTCACTTTTGATGAATTGTTCAGGATTTGTTACAATTTTGTAAATTGTTAAATCATTATAATTCAAAAAGAATGTTTTAAGGATTGATACAAAAATGACATTATTGATATAATCTATCTAGCAAACGAGAATGGATTAAAATGTATTGAAATTTTTTTCTATCCGAATGCGTATTTTAAATAGCGAAATACTTTTTTTTGGATTTCATTGGATTTAATTAGATTCAATTGGATGCAATTGGATTGAAAAACTGCATTTCCTATTCAAAATTTTGAATAGGAAATGCAGTTTTTCAATCCAATTGCATCCAATTGAATCTAATTAAATCCAATGAAATCCAAAAAAAAGTATTTCGCTATTTAAAATACGCATTCGGATAGAAAAAAATTTCAATACATTTTAATCCATTCTCGTTTGCTGAGTAAGTAAGAATTTCTTTTGTCAATATTACTTGATTAGTCAATAATTTTTTGTTAAATTGAAAAATTGTTTTTTCTCTTTTCTGAAAAACTTAATTTTTTAAGTCGTGTCACTTTTAAAGTAAGAATATAAAATATAAATCTTTTATAAATAATTTTCTAGGTTATCTTTAGTAAGCAGTTTGTTGAAGCGCATAAATTACGAAAATCAAATTCTAAAAAAATGTAAGTGAAAGTAGCAGAGACGAGGAAAATCTCTATTATTACCTCAATTTGTAAACGTGAGAGAGTTTATCTATTAGCCCACGATTTGAGGTTAAGTCTTTCCCGCCAATGACTTCACGACAATTACAGTTGTAGAAATAAACCTTGTCACAACGAGAATCAACAATGAAATGAAAACCTCGTAAAATCAAGTGAAGATCTGCGAATATATTGGCATCACGATAATTACATTTTCACTGAAACTACGCGTTCGAAATTCAAAACTAACACCAACTACTGGAACTAAAGATGTCGTGATTCACGGATAAGTGTGACAAAACAAATCCGTCGAATATATCGGTATTCGTAGCTAATTGATGAAGAACGAATGGGAACCAATCATGTTTGACAAGCTGTTACACACGACGCACTACGCAGGCGAGGCGGAGTAAGTTAGGTTCGGTTAGGTTAAGTCAGATAGCCTCGTCGATAATCGCTTGTGCGCTTCTCGCAATCTCGAGAACGATCGGTGCTGATACTGCTGATGAACGACAAGTGTAAAGATTAGTCTCGGCGTCTGTATGCAGACACAGTGCTTTGACGAGAGGCGAGCAGCTTTTAGAATTGGAACGCAATTCCAGGCATCGAACTGACATAACTTTGTGTTGTTGTGTTCGACCGCGGAGGAAAACGAAGACACCATTCGGAGGAAAATGTCAAAGATCGAGGAGGCAAACGAGCACATACGTCAGGCTGAAAAAGCGTAAGCATTTCTCTTGCCTTCAAGATTCTTTTGATGCTTACGAATCGCTCAGATATTATTGGAGAATGTTCCTCGTTAGGTTTTGTATTATTAGATATGATATCAATCTAATATTAAAGGCTAACAAAATGAGCTTATGACAAATTTCAATAATCTCTTTTAAAAGCTTGTAGGTGTAAGTTTTTTAAAATTACATATTAATGCTCAAAAGTATATTTGTCCACCTTAATTTTTATATGTCTCTTTTTCTATGTCTAAATTCTGTTCTAATTTTATTATATTCTTTGTACATATCATTTCCTTATTTAAAAAGTAATACAACTCAAAAAATATGATTTCCAAGTTATTATCATGAATGAGTAAAATAAACATAACTCTATCAATCATCAAAAGTAAACTAAGTTTCATAAAAAATCAAAATTATCATAATTAAAAAAAGATGATTTTTTTAAAATTGAAACACGAAAATGATTAAGCAGCCAATGATTTTCTGATAAATAGAAAAATAGGTTTTTTTCTTTTCTGGAAAACTGAATTTTTTAAGTTATGTCTTTTTTGTAGTAAGGAAGCGATATATAGAATGTAAAATTTTAAGCTTTATCAAACATCATTATTAACATTAAGGAAGAAGAGGAGACTGAAATTTATTCTACTTTATTTACTTAATTAAGAAAGAAAGAATGGACAAGTACTTCAGAGCAATAGTATATATTATTTGTAGGTTTTTATGTGGAACAAATCTTTGTTTCTTTCAGCTTAAAACCTACATTCTTGAAATGGCGACCTGATTATGAGGTAGCAGCTGATGAGTATTCACATGCTGGTAAGAAAAAATATGAGATTATGATAATAAAATATTTAGACAAAGTATAAAAATAAAAAATCAAATATTTTATCGGTGTTTAAAAATTCTACAATTATATAATAAATTAATAAAATTAATCAAGACTTTTGCAGACAGTTGAATAATTTAACTATACTTTTATAATTCTTTAGCAACCTGCTTCCGAGTAGCCAAATCATATGCACAGTGTAAAGATTGTTTAGTGAAGGCAGCCGACTGTTACAAACAAACCAAAGCGTATCCTTTGATATAATAATAAAAAACAATTTCTGATTTTTCAATTTTAAGTATTGCATAAAATATATTTTTTTATTAAACTCGTCCAAAAATTTATTTATTGTATTCTTTATCATTATTTTAGTAACCAATTATTTTCATAAAGATATCCAAAAATAAACTTTGTATTATAGGAACTTAATTTTTTCCTAAAGTTCCTGCTAAAATTTCACACATTCTCGTGTATTTTCTTTAATTTTACAATTATTGTGAAATAGATGGTTCCATGCAGCAAGGTATATATATCATGTATATACACAATTTAGATTTTATCATGTAATGTATTACGATAAGTATAAGAATGCAATGTTTTCAGGTGCATCGAGCAGGCTCTGCTTGTCTGCAAGGAAATGGGGAATTTGTCAGAAGTATCAAAACTAGCTCACAATGCTTGTGGCCTTTTCCAGCAGCATGGATCTCCTGAATCAGGCGTTACTGCTCTCGACAAGGCAGCCAAGATGTTGGAAGCTACACAGCCCCAGCAGGCTCTGGAGCTATTTAGACGCGCGGTTGACATAATCTCGGTAAAAATCTTGTCACTTTATGAATAAAAGTAACTACAAAATTATAGAAATATCGAAATATTATATGAACAGGAAGAAGAAAGATTGTATGATTTAATTATACAGTTCTATAATTTAAAAGATTTTAATATATAAAAATATATAAGAATTTTGAAAATTTATTAAAAATTAAATATTAAAAACAATTGTATAAAAATCCATAGTAAGAAGGCTTGAAAGAAGATATTGTTTGTAGGGCGAGGACAATCCGCGACACGCAGCGGAATACATGAGCAAAGTTGCGAGACTATTAGTGAAGCTACAGATGTATGACGAGGCGGCAGATGCGATACGTCGCGAGATTGGCATGTATCAGGATGTCAAGCTTTGGCAGTCGCTTGGAAGGCTTACTGTGGCGTTAGTGTTAGTGCAATTGGCACGAGGTGATCAGGTTGCGGCCGAGAAGGCTTTCAAAGAATGGGGTAACTTCTGCGAGGCTCCTGAAGTACGTGAAAGATATATAAAAAATTTTCTTAACATAAAAATAAAAAGGAATTTAAAATTAAAATTTTCTTAATATACTGCTCAACGAATTTCTTGGTAATTGGAAAGTTAATGATCCATTAGTACCAAGATGGAAAAATTTGTCAATTATGTCAATATTATTTATTGGTTCTTCAGGTGCAAACATTGGAGATGTTGCTACAAGCATATGATAATGAAGACGCGGATGCAGCTCGGGCAGCCCTTAACAGTCCTTTTATCAAACACATGGACGTGGAATACGCCAAGTTAGCTCGAGGTTTACCTTTACCACAACAGGAATATGCTATTCCACCTGCTGGAGTAAGAGCTAATGCCGCGGAATCTTATGTTTCTCCTAACACGTCCAAGGTTGGCGGACAGGCTACCATTGAAGCTGAAGTTAACCATGTGAATTTTATTATTATATTTTATCATTATCCGCCATTTTACCATTGTATATTTGATTATTTCGTTAGGCATACAATGACGGTGATTTATTAATTTTCTTAGGCAAAGAATGAAGTCAATGAATCTAGTCAATCAATCGAGAAAAAACCAGAAGTCGCATCACCACCAAAATCTACACAAAAGCAGGAGGAAGAGGATGATTATGAAGGAGGCCTGTGTTAATCTTTACATGTAAAAAATTCCTGTATTGCTTATAAACTTTTAATTGTGTAACGCTTGCATGTATATTGAGCGTTCATCGCATCGAAACACATTGTTCGCTTCAAAAGAATTTGTCTTTCTTCAGCTTTATTCAGCTTAACTTTTAACAGAAATCTAACTGTCAGAATTATTAGAAGGCAATGTGAAAATGTGGAAAGGGATAACGATCTGTATCTTTTTTTATATTTTAAATTTTCATTTACAAAAACATGTCACTTTAATTCATTTATTAGTAACTATTTTCTTTACACAATTTTACAAGCATTTCTTTCCAAGATTTTGAATTTAATTTATTTTATATTAGATTAAACTTTTTATATTTTTTAATTTTAAAAACCTAAAAATGTTATATATGGAAAAAATATATTTTTGTCGACAAGACTTAGTGTGCCAGAAATGGAAAAAATTTAATTATTTTCTTTGATTATGACAATACATAAAAATATTTCACAAGATCCATCTTTCATAAATTACCGAAGTAGCACACAGCGTCTATAAAGCGTTAAGAAAGCACGAAAAAAGTGCAAATAGTCGCTTTTTTAATGCTATGCAGACATTGTTGTTAGTTGGATAGACTTGAAATATTTTTTCTTTTTCACAATCATCACAATCGAAGGAAATAAATGTTTCAAAAACTTAGTTTTTTGATGGGACATTCTGTACATAGTGTTACCATGAACGTAAATAAGAGACATCTGCGATTTACTTTTACATATACGCGCATGTGTATATATTCCTTTAGCAAATCTCTAACATTTCCATATTTTTAATTAATAATTAGCTAATAATGTATATAATTATTTAATTGAAAAACGAGACATTCCTCATTGAAAGCAGAAATATTTAATTTTCCAGCACTGTCCTAGTGAAATCGTTATACCTAAACTGTTATGATTGTGAGAGTTTAACAGAAAAAAAAATATGATATTATATCCCGAAATGTTACTGTTTTACTTGCAACCTATTTACAAAATGTAATCCTACAATCCTTAATAAAAAAAACTTTTTTCAAAGTAGTTTCTGCGAAAGTCAATTCCATTACATGGAATGTTTAAATAGGTTATGTTTAGTCGTACACATGTCTGTTTTACTTAATGCACATTCTGCTCTCTATTTTATAGATATGAAATTTAAATTTAATGAGATTGAAAAAGAGAGATATGGAAGGGAGAAAAACAGACAAACAGTTAAAAAAAAGGCGCAGTTAAAAAAGGTAGATTCATAGTTGCGAGGAATACTCACTGGAAGCTCAAATTACTGCAATGGTAAGCGGATTTACGCGAGAATGGTCTCGAGACGAATTCTTCGTTATTCTTCATAAAATTCACAAGCTTACAGAAAATCGAATCGCACCGAATCACACTCCAATACAAATATTGAATTCGATTCGCACAACTTTGGACATGAATTTGAAACCAAGTGAAAAAGGCGCGCGCGACCATAAACTATAAATATTAAGTAAGTTACGTTCAGAAACATCGATCTAGTTTCCATCGAGAGTTTAAACCGGATTAGAATGGTCTCAATAGACAATCATAAGCTGCATTTTCATGCTGAATGCTCGATTCAAGCATTAAAACAGGTTACGTGATCAAAATTGACGAATACCATGCATCAATTTTGAACAAGTGACTTGTTTTGTCGCTGAAAATGAACGTCGAGCGT